ATATATATATATAGAAATATATATATTTATATTACTATATATAGTAATCAAACTACTAATGTGTCCAAAAACTGTAAAAAGCAAAGCAACACACTGAAATATCAACCCCATCATTATGATTTTCATCTGTGCCCTTCAGCTCTTTGTCAAAATAAATCTGAAGATCCAAGTCAGGAACACCAGTCTGGCTAAACAGGCACACAATAATTTCATGTCATTACTAGTAAGGCTGATTAAAAGCAAGGCAAGGTTTGCACAGAAAAGGAATGCCCTTTGCTAAAATAAACAATACAAATTTCATCACAGTCTAATAAAAAATACTATCTCTCTGTACAAACTGTATCTTTTTGGATCACATGGAGAAATTGAGACAAGCTAGGGTTGCAGCACTGTGACATTCTGACTCTTTTCATCCTTCACTTTTGCCTTCTTTTTCCTTCCATAGAGATTTTGTCAGATGAACACAACTAGTGGCTTTGGGTCTTTAGAACAAATTCAAGATATTCTAAAATTCTTGAAGGGAACTGTTTAGAGAAAAGTAGTCTGCATTATCAGTGATATTTTTCAAAAAAAGATTTCAAGGTATGTCAAGCACTACAGATGAGCTTGGAAAGAATATGCTCTAAAGGAAGACATTTATGACAGATGCTCCTGTGTCTCTAATCATAGAATTATATTGTACAAGGATATATATATATATGCCATCAGGACAGGCAAGTGAATACTCATTAAAAATAAGACTTACTGCAGCAGCATTGCAAGCATCAGAGAGACTGCAAGAAATGTGCATATTTTATATTTATCGAGCACTCTCTGCTGAACATATGTTGCACAATAGACTCAAGTATTAAAAACCACAACCAAAAATAAAGCATACACCCACCCACAAAAGGAACGAAAGTTGCTTTGGATTTTTTAACTGTGCTTCAGTTTTGAATGTTTGGGTTTGAAGATCCAATTTTCATTAATGAATCCCAGTGGCAAAGAAAGAGTCTTGAGTTAATTTAACTTATTTTAAAAGATTAAATTTGAAGTGAAGATCTACTGGACTCCTCCCTGTCTTCAGCACACACAAAGTTGTTTGTTCTTGTCCTAACTACAGTGCAAATTCTCACAAGACATAACTGATAAATGTTCCATAGAATAATAAACAAGATGTTATTTGCACTAGTTGAAGAAGAGTAAAAGAAACAGTGAAAGATTAAATCAGTAACTGTATCTTGTCTTACACTAGATCAACTCAACTGTGTAGCTTGATTTCTGTGGAAGTTTCCTACTCAATAATCTAGTACAATGAATACATTTTTCACTTATCAAATTCTTTAGCAGTATGACTGTCACATAGAAACTGAATTTTACATATTACAGAAGACTGACAACATTTAAGAGAAATAACAATAGCAGCCTTATTTCTAACCTACTGCAATGACAGACCATGAAAATTGCAATATAGAAAGTATTTTCAGAGATATCTTATTAAACAACATGAAATTAGTAACCCACTTCAGGTATTTCTAACACAGAAAAGCAACAAATCCATGGGACTTATCCAGTACATCCTTTCTTGATGTTTTTAAACAGCTTTAGAATGACAAAAATAGATATTGCACATGCTCAAATTCAAGGTAAAATGTCAGCCTTCTTCTAAGGCTTTCAACATTACTATGTTGGTCTTTGAGAACTATTTGAGAGCGGCCCTAATTCCCAGAAGCTCATGGTAGGCTGACATTTATCACAGAAAATGGACAACATAACTCATCTATCCACAGTAAATAGGTATCAAGATTAGTATCTCAGAAATAATGGAAACTAAACTGATTTGTCATTATAAACTTTCTTCGTGATTCTTATCCACATTCCACTGCTCAGAATAGGTGCATGTCAATGACAAGAGTCAGACACTGGTATTATGCAGTAGTAAAAAATGATCATTTATCAAGTTAGATTGGCTTGAAGAGTTCTTGGTGACTAGCAAGAAGCAAATGATAGGAAAGAAACAAAATAATCAGAAGCTTGAATTTCCAGGTAATACTAAAGCATCTCACCTCAAGATTATCCTTTTCATGTCACTATTTTACAAGTGTTAATAGCCTTTTCCAGGGAATTTATTTCCAGGCTTAAAGAGTAATCTTCTCTATGCATTTATGCTATCAAACATTCACACAATTACCTCCAAAAGCAGAAGTTACAGAATTTCCATTAACATAAGAGCAGAATGTTTCTTCTATTTTAGAAGAACTACAATGAGATTTTTATGTCTGTTTTATCCACGCATTGTGATCAACACCTGTTTCAGGAAACCTGAGGATGAATTTACACATTTATTTCTGTTGAATGAAAACATATTAGAATACTTCCCACTATATGACTCCCATTTTATTTCCCTTAAAAAATAATCCTGTTAGTTGAAAGAATACTCTTAAAAGGCTTCCAAATTCTGCCCTCAGATCTGATGCCTATCTTCCTGCAGGCAGGTGTCATCTGAGCTCCCCAGGTAATAAAATGACAACTTTACAGTGTTTCTCTCCTGCAGTTCACTACTGGTCTGTATTTTTTCTGTAACTGTACAAAATGAGACAATATAAAAACTATAACAGAGCTATCTCCCAATATGCTTTCTCAATTAAAGGTGTGTAAGTTGCAAAGAGACAGCACAAACTCTGAAAGTAAAAATGTGAAGACTGGGCACGAGACACATCAGTCAACACTTACACACAGACACAGAAAACGGGATCATTGTAGAGGTACCTCTGCCAAACACTTCAGTACTTATCCCATCCTACAATTGCTTATTTCTCATGTAAGCACATGTGTATCCAGTGAGATCTGGTCATTCCCCCCAACTACTAAAATTTTTATTAATAATCCCACTGAAGTGATGACCTCAGGAATTTACACACAATTTGTAGAGGGGAGTATTGTGCTAGGCAGCATCTTTCACTCCCCCAAAAAAGAGGTATTTTTTTACCTTCATACAGAGTCCAGGATAGCAAGGAAGTCAAATGTACAATGAAAAGTAACATTCTTGCTTTGGTACAACTAAGCTGATTAAGATAGTCTCGGTAAGCAGAGCATGCCAGGGTAGTGCATTAGTTAAAATTCTTATCAGTGATTACAGAAGTGAGAGGTATTTCAGTAGGGGACCAGATCAAACATCTTAAAAGATATAAATCTAAGACTAAAAAAGTTTGGAAACAGAGAGAAGGGAAAACATGCAGGCTGTGTATTTCTGAGTTAGCCAAGTAAAGGATGATTGTCCTCTCTAAATCTGTCCCACACCTGTACAGCTGCCTGACTCATTTCTCATCTACTTGCCTCTCTGTCCTGAAAAAAAAAAAATAAAATTAAGCTATTGACAGTAAAGAGGAATTCCTGTAAGGACCTTAATCCAGCTGGGTTTCAAGATCCCATTCTTAAAAATGGCAACAGAGATCACATGTACAAGACATGCCTGAAATTACATGGAAGAGACTATAGAAGAGACACTTTCTAACTGAAAGGCTCTGTCACAGGGTCGGGAATTGAAACAAGTTCTTCTTTAACTGGCAAGTCACATACCTCTAAGAAAATAACATGCTAAGAATATTAGTGATCTCTCTTCTAGTTCGTATTTCTGCAGCAAGGAAAAAAACCCTGCCTTATTGTTGGGACTACAGTACTGGATTAATTTACTACTTTACAACTGGGACACTGCTGTGAGAAAAATATAATTGTGAGCATCAGACTTCCACCCTTTCTCACAGATGGAAATCATAGTGAACCTCATTAAAAGTGCTTTTATCAGTTGTGAGGTATCCAAGTCTCCATTCTCAACACTTCTTGAATGTACACACACTGACTGTTGCAGATGGCAATGCTGTTTGACTTTGCAGGTTTTGTGCTCTGGCTAATTGACCCTTCAGAGATGGTTGCTCCTGATATGGAATGGCAAAAATTTAAGACTAATGGAAATTGAAAGCTCTATGACATGTAGGTAGGGAGAATACATTTTCCATGCATGCCAGGTATCAAGTGCACCATACTCAAGCAACGTTTTGCTCACAAATTCTGGGGGACAAGCAATGTAATGTTGCCACCACCTGGCCTCTCCCATAACAGCACAACACCCAACGAGTATTACGATACTCAAGTGCTCACACTCATTACTACATCAAACGTCTTTGTTTTAACAAAATGAAAAAAAAAACCCAAAAAGCCCAACCAAACATACCAGCCATCTTTCATATTCCTCCACAGCCTTTTCTCTTTTTTCTTCCTTCTTTGCCTGTTGCATTGCTTGCTTTCTTTTCTCTAGGAATTTTTCTACTTTCTTCTTTTTTATATATTCTTCCTTCTTTTTATTCCTGCACAGTGAGAGGGAGGAGCAAGAGGTCATCATGTACAGACTAAAAGCTGCATCTGTGATCAATTAGGAAAACTGAGTCAAAATACGTATTTTACACTTTTATTAAAAGATTGAGAATGTGTATTTAAAATCTTCCATGTCCATTTTTATACCTCACCAATGCATAAATTAATCTACTACTCTATCTATTATGGCATCACCTTTACTGTACTTTGTTCTCCCTTATTTAGTATCAAAAAAAAAAAATCATTCTGAACTTCTATAGGAAACTATAAGTTGTGCATTGTCTGTGAGTACTCTTGGCTTGTAAAAATAATATAGAATATCTCCAGCAGATACATCTCATTTCCTTCTCCCTGCATCTGCACTCCTACATTGTATTCCATGAAACCTTAAAAGATTTACCTTCCTTCCTATGGCTTAGTAATGAAGCATGAAAATAACCACGTAAGACACAATACTACTCAATGAATTTTCTCATTTGCAGTATCTCTGCCTGGGTTTAGTTAATATCCTCTTGGGGAGGAAAGCAACTAAATTAATAAACTGAAGGGAGCTGCACAGCTTGTTTTCACTGTTAGACTTTGCCTCCATTGGGAATGAAGAGTCTGATCCCAGCATTCCATTGTCATCCAATTACAAGCACATCAAGTATTCACAGAAGACCTGTTACGTTTATAAGCAATGATTTTGGAAGCTCTGATATGACAAACACAGTGGAGAAGTACCATTTTTCAACTGCTGATACACTGACTTTACTCTTCTCTGCAACTAGGTCCTCTTCTATCTTCTTCCTCATTCTTTCAGACTGTTTTTCCTTCCTGCTTTGCTCTCTTAAATATTCCACTTTTCTTTCTTGCCATTTTTTGAATGCCTAAAGACAACCACAGATCCATGAGAAATCTTACCTGTCACCTTTCTGTCAATACTCCATAAATCTATTCTCCATTATTACTTTTTGTAATTTCTACACATTCTAATTTTAGAATATTTGCTTGTAGAATTGCTCAGAAGTATCACTATACCTAAAAATAATCTTATTTTTGCAGTAGGTAACAGTTAATTTCTAATATATTTGTATAAATTTATTTTACACTCAGTTAATAAACTCCAAATATGTGCAGTCTGTTTGTCTGTAAAGTGTAAACATTACATATTTCTGACAGAACAAAACCTAATACAAGCTTCCTTCAAAACCTAGCCATGTCTAGATTTAAGATTCTAGCTCATTTCTATCTCTTTCTGGATTAATCAAAATTATTTTTTACCATCTCCTGAACCACATTCAAATACACATTTATGTACATATTTCACATCACCGCTTGTGCTGCTTCTGTTTTTTCCTTAGTCTGTTCTGGTTTCTTTTCCTCAAGTTCCGCAAGCTTTTTTTTTTCACTTAACTTCTTTGCTTCTTGCTCTTTCTTTTTTTTCCAGGCTTCATAACATGCAATTGATTCTTCTCTTTTAAGTGCTTCTTTCTAGATTGGAAATAAAAGCCTACATTTAAATCAATTTCAGTATAAAATTCTAAATGAAATAGTACGCTTTAAACTTATTGCTAAATGGAGCAATAAAGAAACAGAAATTGATTTCCTGATAACATTACAAGTATTACAATTAAATTTAAAGCATATATAGTGGTTTTTTTCTATTCCCATTTTTAATTTAATTGAATGACACGAGCTACTGCCAAGTATATGTAGAAGAATAAGAAATACATGTTAAGTACTTAGAAGTGAAACATACAAAATACTTAAAAGCCGAATCAAAGAATGATACTATTCAAGGTAAGAGTCCTCTGTAGGTAAGCATCTCTCGAGGAAGGGAGTGAATGCCTCATGTTCTCATGCACAAAACAAAACTTAGCACTTTAAGAGCTGAGTATCCCAAGGTCTTTGTAAACTAACCTGAAAATTAACCTAGGAAGCACGATTCTAACAAACCTTATGTAAACGTGTAGGGAAGCATTGGAAAGACACAGTTTGCCACAAACCCAACAAGCAGGAGATGCTATTTATTGTTTCACATCACCTTGTGCTATTTGGAGACAACCAGGTACATTACAAAAGCAGAGGGAAGCACTTAGGAGGGAAGCACACTTCAAAGAATCATAGTTTGTAAACTTCTTTTTAAAAAATAATGCAAACAAACCTTTTCAGTATTGTTCCTAAGAATTTCAGCTTTCTCCTTTTCACTTCTCTTTAATTCCAGCAGAAGGAGATTTTTCTTTTCCAACCAGTTCTGTAAGAATCATTAAAGTATTTTTAAAGTCCTCTTAAGATAAAGGAAATAGCAGAACCAATATAATGGCCACCAAAATTACTCTTAGCTCTTCCATGTGCTAGTTAAATAGCATCCCCTGTGGAAAACTAAGCTGTCATCACACAAACATTGTGATCAAAAAAATCTAAGATCCTGAAATCACAGCTACAAAATCTAACCAACAGAATGAAAGGATTACAATACCTGTAAGCCAGTGAAAGGAAAATAGTAAAAAATATTGATTTCAAGAAAATATGAGGTGTTAACCCCTGTATCAGGACCTTTACACGCACAATTCTGTTTGTTGGTTTGTTAATTTTTTAAATCTACCTGATAAACAGCTGCCCTTAAATTATCTACTTTGTTGAATTCTGGACTTTTCATCTGCATGCGTTTATCCTCCAACACCTTTAATGATCCCAGATAATGAGATGAAACAGGTGAAGTTGATGGAACAGTTTTCCCCTTTCTCTTTAAATGTGCAAAAGTTGTAGACCTAGGAAAATACCAGGACAAAAACACATTAATGACCTTTCTATTTACTGTAGCTCATAAAAAGTAGTGATCTTATTTCAGTGCATACCAAAAGTTACTGTGTTTTGGGTTTTTTTTAATATGCATTTGGCTGGGGACTGGGAAAAGGAAAAGGAGAAAGAATTTACCTCTTTTAAGTTCAAATTACTTACACTTACAGCTTAGAGCCTGTAAAGACTCCAGTAACACACCCATCACTGGCAAAAGATTTGGGAGTCAGATCTGCCATAAACCTGAGCAAGGGTCATAACAACATGCCACATGCACTAAACTGTTTTCCACAGATGGTCAGAGATTGTCAGCAGCAAAGACAATGCTGACAGAAAATGAGAGGGGAGCAGCACTGTCGGGGTGCTTACAGGCATCCTAAATAGCTCAGAACAATACTCTGCATTCTTTTCTCACCTGTCAGATAAAGAAGCCTTTGGGTTTTCTAGAACTCTCTCCTTTGTTTCACTTAGTTTCTAAGAAATAGACAGAAAAAGTAAAGTTATAGAGTCTCTTAAGCAAAAGACCAGGATGAAACAGGTTTTTACAAGCTAACAATGACAGTGAGAATTGGACTCAGCCCATATGAGTCCCTTCCAAGTCAAGATATTTGATGGTCTTATGATATAAAAAAAGGCAAGAAAGACACCCTAATAAAGAGAGAGTATAGTACAGGGTAAGAAAGTAAGGAGAGAAAAAAACAAAACAAAATGAACAAAAGCCCCCAAACCAACCAATCGACCAAACGACCAATCGTCCAACCAATCAACCAACCAAATTTTCAGAATGCCTGTATCATTTTGGAAAGGCAGCTAGGAATGTTCATTTGTATTATTTAAAAATACAGTCAATAGTTTAGAAATAATAAAAAGTAAAAAGAACACAACCGATTTATTCTATAAACACTGTTTTAAGTATTTTGAATACTTAGCTTTAATATGTATCAACGTATTTTATATGTATCTATGTATTTTCCTTTTAGGATAAGGCATTATCCTAAGATTTGCATCTTAGCCATTATTCAGGTCACACATGGATTCCATCCTCTGCCAAAACACACTGCTCATTGCTATTCAGCTATCCTCACAACAGAGATTTGACATTTTCACTTTGAGAAGGGTGCTTTCTTAAGGCTGGAAAACACATTTCAATACCTTTATCTGACTTAAATAATTTGTGGAAAAGGTATTCCTTACATCTTTCATAAAGCTATACAGAATTTATAAAAGCCTTGGCTCTAGAAACCAGATATAAATTGTCAGCTTTCCAGTGTTCTACACACTTAAGATACCAACAGCAACTTTACAAAACTCTCCCCTCCCCTGTTCTTCTAGGACATTGTTACAAACAATGGTAAACTGTGTATGAGCAATACCTTGACAGAGCTCTTGGATGTGTTCTTTGCCTCTCCATGCTCAGACTGATCATTCACTGATACCTCCTGCATTTTATCAGTTATTATTTGCCCTTCTGCTATTTTCATCATTCCATCTGAACTGTCAACAGAAGGGGATTGCCTACCATTGTCCTCCAGTTTCAACTCACTGGTGTTGCCAGTCTTCTTCTGATCTTGATCTAAAGGAAAAAAAAAGATTGCAAGGACACATTAAAAAGAACTTCATTGTTTTTGAGTATTGTTTTTTTCTGAATAAAATGTATTTCTAGAAAAACCATCCATCTGTGAAAGCTGTTATTAAATTTCATATAATATAATGTATTTTCTGTATGCCTCCTTCTAAGAACTAAGAACTCATAAGAATAGTATTCATCTCTATTTTCATGTAAAACTGGAGTAGCAACTGAAGTTTGAACTAATGTTAGAGAATGCGAGAGCAAAACAAAGGCAAAATTTTCCATCTGACTTATGTGGCTCTGGTGCCAAAAGCAAAACCAAAACCAAGAGTCACTGCAGTCACAGCAAGAGCTCTTCTGACATCCAGCAAACTTCTAATGAAGTATGCCAGTTAACACTCTGGGTAGCAAATGCTGTTTCCATTGTGTAGGTGTGGGACACGAGTGAATAATTAAAAATTCTGCAGTGCGGATTTAAAAAAAACATCACCTCAATCTGAATGTATGCCTAAGTGGTGAAATTTTTATTTATGAAACACTTTACTAATAAGACCTAAAAAACATTTTAATCATATTTCAACTGCCAGTAATGCAGCAATCTAAATTTGTAAAACAATTCAGACACAAGTCAAAAATGCTCCAGTAAAACCAAATTAGAAGTCTTCCACAAATTTCCAATAGAATTCTTCAGGAAAATAAAATTTTTGGATGACAAATTAACTCCCAATTACCTGAAGAAAGGAACATTAATGCCCACAATCAAAGAAATTTAACCTAAATTTACAGTGATGAAGGTAAATTCAAGGTGACAAGCATATGGAATTCTTTGAATTTTAACCAATACTGCAGTGTCTCACTGCACTACTTTGATTCACATGAAGAAAAGCAGTTCAACCTCTTTTCTGCCAGTCTAAAACTACACAGGCACACCAGCCAGGAAAGAGATGTCTGCACATTCAAATACCTAGCATTTTGGTGCCATCATGTGGAAAAATGAAGCTGCTACCTTTAATCATGCTCTACCAATTGCAAAGTTGTAATCTTCCCTTACAGGTAATGAATGAACAGTCATAAACTTAACATCAAACAGGACAAATTCCTCTCATATTAGGGATTAGATAAAAAATATTAAGTCTTTTGGCACATACAGTCAATTAGCAGAATTCCAAAACCTGCTTTGTATATTAAAAATAAATTAGCTATTCCTGTAATGAAATATTCAAGTTTGGGAGGTTTATGTGTTTGACTATGCATCCAAAGTGTGTCAGTATCTTCAAAGTAAAAGATCATCTGAAGTTTTAACTTTGAAATAATGAAACATCTACCATTCATAAATGTTTTGGGTACAGCTCATGTTCTGTTACATTACAGCTTCACCTGATCATGGAAAAGGAGTTTTGTGACCTTTCCATTAAAGGGTACGTGGGTACTGTGGTTGCTGTGTGAATACAGTTTTCTGTGCCATGCACACACTCATGAGGCATCTTGGCAGCCCCCTCACCCCTTCCATGCACATGCACTGGAGAGCTGGACTTTAGGGACCTAAACAGCTGGTTTTCATCTTCTGAAAGGAAAAGGCAAACAAGAACCTCCTGCTCTTGGCCCACACTGGTTCAGTTTACCCCCTGGCATACAGAAGTTGTATATTTATACAAGCTTTGGCTTTCCAAGGCAAAGCAGACGATTGCTAACACAGAAAATAACCCAAATTAAAACACTTTAAAATACTTGTAACATGGCTAAGCAACAACAACATTAAAATATTTTCTTTTCACCTGATGCTGAACCATTTCCTTTTTTGTGCATCCGAGGCTTTGCTTTTAGTTGGTTTTCCTCTTGATTTCTCTTTTTATGTAGCTCATTAATAGGCAAGTCATTACTTTCACTATTATCATGCAGTACTTCATTATTTTTTCTGTCATTATCCTCATTTTGATCTTCCACACATCCTTCTTCATCATGTTTTCTGTCATTCTGTATGCTTTCACCTTCTAAAACCATTATCTGCTGAAGCCTCTTTTCATGAAAGGATAAATTCAAGTCATCAGCAGCTTCGTTTTCCAAATCTACCACGTTTTGTGAAGCATCATCATTCAAGAGAGGACTCCCAGCAACAGATCTCTCAGTGCTTGCAGAACCTGAATTACTTTCAGCAACTTCTTTCCCAACATCTGCAAAGAGTGCATTACCAACTTGCATTTGATACAAGTGGAAGAAAAATAAACCACAGAACCTATATCTTCTACAACCTAACACTATTTTTCATGTAACACCCTCCAGACTTTATTTACTGAGCATTTCACTTTATGTGCCTCTGATCTCTGCAAAGCCACCAAACTACAGCCTTATTGTACTTCCTTTCCTGTCATCTATTTTCATGGACCCAATCCAAAGAAAAAAATTTACTCACTAATTCTTTTCTGCCAGACAATTTAAAGCCCTTCTAAAAAACTATGTGTCAATGCCATAGGAAGTAGAAGCAAGTCATCAACCACAAAGCCAGGCATGTTTAGTATTAAAAGCCATCCTCCCTTCCCATCTCTTCACTTCTGCCCCATTTAAAGTCCACTAGAAGATACTCAAAGGAGTGATCTTCTACAATGCTAAGGTTCACATGTTTAACAAAAATATTTATCTTCCTCTAGTCTGTTATTGCTAACTGACCTAATTTCAGAGTTCAAATGCTTGAGGAAGGTGACAAAAGAATGTCATAATAGTAGACTAATGCATTTAATGCTGGAGAGCTTCTTTTCCTAAATTTTGTCAGCAAAAGGAAATCAAAGAATCCCTCCAACTGTTATCAGATGTTTTATATGTGAATAAAAAACAGGTAAAGGAGATCCTTTTAAAAATACAAGATCGTATTTAACATATTTAACATATTTAACTATTTTTCTTAAAATTTAGTGTCATGCCAGCAGGAAGAAAAGTCATTTGGCCAATGCTTGTAATTTGGCCAAACAAAAATCTAATGCATCCTGCTCCAAAAAAACCCAGCCAGATCAAACCTATTCCTGGCTTATGTACATTGCCAGGCAAGTGTGCTCTGCAGTGTGTCCTGCAGCCCTTATCACTGATTGTCCAGACTGGGAAACCAGTACAAAAAAAGCATTGCCTTTCTCTCTGCCCATGTCTACTTTCATTTACAGTACTGTGCACTACTGTCTCATCCAGCAAACAAGATGGCTAAGGAGGGTAACTGGGCACCACAAAGATAGGAACCAGTACAGACAGCATGCCGTCTAGCAGGCACCTCCACTAATTTCATTGCAGATTTTGCTGCTAACTTGGCAGAGGAAGACTCTGTGATTTAGAAGCTGTTAAAATGTGAAATCTTGGAACACTAAATTGTATTGACACATAAAGATTCTCTAGGATCTAGTAAAGGGTTAAGAAAGGGAAGAAAACAAGGAAAAATATTTTGTTTTACCATTTAACATGCCATCTTCATCACTTTCAAAATCGTCGGAATATTCAACTTTTTCCTTTCTTGTTGCATAATCAGAAATTGCTTCCTGTAGCTCATCCTGAAATGGCTTCAAAAGTAACTTTTACAAAAAAGGCAGGATTCACTTGTTCAAGTTCAGCAGTAATTCTCCCCTCCCACAAATACATAAGTAAAACTGAGCAACAGAGGTAAGCCCATTTAATTGACAATTATTCTGAAGCATACTGCATCCATTCTATCTCCATTCCCCTAACATATATACATCAAAAAGTCCCCAAACCTCCATGTATTTATTTATATTCTTCATAAGAAATGTATTTAACAAACCACTAATGATGTATCATCATGTGACACTTCTCTTTTGTATGTTTTGATCGGCAAGAGCACAAGAGGAGGGTTTGTGAGAGAAGGTGAGTACGGACGAGCTCCTCACTGCCGCAGGACAGGAGCCTGAAGCAGGTGGCAGGTCCAAACCAATGGAAGAACACATATTTTGGACACTCTGCTGCAGGACATCACGGACACAACACATTTACATGATTCTGACTGGCCCTTAATTATAGACTGTAAACACATAGAGAAATGCACCAGTATCTCCAGATTCCAGACCCGACCCACAAACCACGAGGAGCAGTGGTTCCTCACGGGCCTTGGGCTCCTCCCGAGGCACCTGCTGGTGGCCAGGCTGCTCCTTCAGCCCGGCTGTCAGGAACGGGCCAGCCGGGCTGCTCCCGGCCTGTGCATGGGGAGCAGCTCCTGCCGACCTCACCGAGGGCAGCCTGCTTGCCCGCTTTCATTTCGAAAGCAGCGCGGATTTCTGTGGGTGTGCTGCCTCTAACAGCGAATTAACGTATTCCCAAAGGCAGAAATCTGCTCGCAGGCCCCGTTCCCCAGCGTTGGCCGTACCCTGCCCCTGTCCGTGCCCGTGCCCCTGGCCCTGCCCCGGCCGCCGCCGCCGCTCACCTGCAGCCCGCAGTCGGCGGTGCCTCCCCCCGACATGGCGGAGGTGTCTCGAGCCCTCCGAAAGCCCTGGCAAAGAGCCTCGGGAAAAATCCCCGGCGGAGAGCCCACAGAAGGCGCTCCAGGAAAGAGCCCCGGGAAGGAGCCCCGGGAAAGAGCCCCGGGCCGGGCCTAGTCGCGCCCGGTCCCGCCCGTCGCCCGGCAACGGCCGCGCCGGCGATCGCCTGCGTTAGTCGGGAATCGCTTCATGTCGCCGCAGCGCCACTTCCTCAGCCGGGCCAAAGCCGCGCCGCCAGGATTTATTATTTGTGCCAGTGCCCTGCCAGGATTTATTATCGGTGTCCCTATCCTGCAAATAACCCTGTTCCCACAAGGAGCACATCCATACATCCATGACACTCGTACCAGGGCTGACACACCTTGGTCGACCCCACCCTTGCGGTCAGGTAATTGTCCAAAACCTTCCTACATGGGATGTGAGCGCTTTCCGTAAGAAACGCACTCATTTTAATGCTTTCTGGAATACAGGTATCATAGCATCTGTGATAAAACCAGTTTAAATCAGATTTTAGGCATGGAGAAATTATAGTGGTATAGAAATAAATCACCTGGTGCTTGCACCTCCTAATATTCCAATTTTTATTTCCCCAAAAAGTGGTTGTGCGATCCACCTGGCAAGCACCTTTCTCCCGGTGAGCGGACACTTTGCCAAGCAGCACACGTTCCCGCAGAGCTGGTGTCCTAGAGGTCATCTGTCCCCAGTATGGGCCACTATGAAGGCACCTGAATTCCACGGTGCTCTGGGAATACCAATCTTGTGCATCAAAGGAAATCTGTACACTTCAGGACCAGGTACAGACATTTCTTCCTCCAGTTTAAATGCTTCTGATCTTGCCTTCCTAAAATAAGACTAGTGCTCTAGTTGTCTTAGTGATAACAAAGAACTTCTGACATGTACTCTAGACTGGTGCTGTATTTATATATATTAATCTTCCCCAAAATGCATTGCATTTTTCTAAGTTGTGCAGAAGAAAATCTCTCTGACAGAAACAGGGAGAGAATATGTAGGACAGAGCCCAGAGCCTTAGGACTTGTTTTCCTTTTGTTTATTTATGTAGAGTTATATTTTAAAAGCAGTACAGTAATGCAAAGGCCATAACACACATGAAAGAGGGAAAGAGGCCCTGAGTTCTAACAAGTAACCTTGGATTTAAACAGTTATTTGATGGTGATGAATTGATATTTAGGTATCATCTGTAAGCAGCTCCTTGCTTTGTTTACCTGTATTTATTTATGCCAAATAATGCTTGATCTGCTGATTAATCATGGCATATTATTGTGTTTGATACACAAATGTTTTCCTATATTTTCTTCACATGTGAAAGCCTTAAATTTGAATGTGTGCTATTACATCTCTTTGTGAAGGTGGAAGGTGAAACTCGACATAATTGTTACGAACTTTAAAAGGAAGAAGAAATACATATATTCTTTTGTTAATAATGTTAGTCATTGCTGTTGAGGGCTAAACTACATATCCCTGTTACAAACCACTGAGATGCACATTTTATTAAATTCCAAAAGGTGGCAGCAAAATATTCTAAAATTGAACAATTTGTTCTTTTATTCCAAATGTCCAGTTTATTCTAGTTTCTTTTATAGTCTTTCATAGTCTCTGACAATGTTTATGGGGTTTTTTTGAGAGACACTATATTCATTTAGAATTGCATACATTGTAGAGAAGGAAGATTCAGTTTAAATTATTGTTATTTACCTGAGTCAGACAACGGGTCCTCATATCACCTTTATTATTAAATATTCAATGTACTGAGTTGCTTGGATGCAGGGAAAGCAATATCAATACTGTCAGCACTGAAGAACTCGAACTGTATGAAGATGTTTTTGTCAAAACACATGAACATCAGGTCTGCATCTTCTAGTCTTACCTGAGGCAAAAATCCCATCGAGATCCAGTGAGGTGCATGGGACTTAAGCCTAAATATGATTCTAGTGCTCTGGGTGTAAGAGACTTAAAAAAAAAAAAACCTACAAACAAACAAATCACAAAAAAAGACCCAACCAACCAAAAAAAAACCCCAAAACCAAAACCCCAAACATGGAGATTTATTGAGGACAAAAACCAGGTTTTATGGTATGAAAATGAGCATTAGCATCTCCTTTTTAATTATTAACTGACTAATATATCACAAATGTAAATTGTACAAGGAAATGTATGTTTGAAGGTGAAGTTGCTCTTTCTCTCTTGAGCAGACATGGAGCATTGAGAATAAGGCTCTAAAAAAATCTCAGCAGTTATATTCCTTTGGATAAAATAAACTTAGAGGTAACATTTTATTCTGCTGACCAAATGTGTGTAAGTCTCTGCCATGCCCAGAACCTTAAAAAAAGCACTTTTAAAAACAAGCATCATGATGCAGTGTGATTACCATCTGCAGGAATAATATTCAGAAAGCAGTCAAGTATGATGAGATTTTTGGATGGCTAGCTTATATGCATATAAATAACTCCCATAAGTGGTTTATTTTATCAATGTGTCTAGAGTTTGTAAGACAGGTTGTGGGATTCCTTCTGAACACGACACATAGATTAAAAATTCTAAAATCATATATAATAAGTCACTTCAAGTCAAAATATATAAAACCCCTTACTGTAGAGAAATGTTACTGTGCTTGCTTTGTTATTCCTTCCCAAAGTAAAAAGTACACTTGAAAGGAAATGTAATGCCGTGACAAAATCTATGAGTTGGTGTACATTTCTGTAGAAAGTGATTTTTGTGTTGGTCGCCAGGGGCTTGCCTCATAAATGACTATTCCTGTTCTTGACATCAGTGGGAATTACACATCAGCGACAAGTGCATCTGCCTCTTGGACCTTGCACACTTATTTGTTTAGCAGAGTAACAATTAGCTTCAATTCTAAACAAA